GCCATCGTGGAGCTTCTTGGCCTTGTCAAAATCCGGGCAACTCCCGCTGAAGAATTGGACGATGACGACGGAACTGTAACCCCTGCGGATTCAAGTGGACTCTTTTCTCCTGTAGCTACCGAGCATCCCTCGACTACTCAAGGCGGACTCCCTCCTCCACCGCCCTTTCAGGGTCTCGGTGGTATGCGAGGAAGTATTGACTCTTCGGCATACAGTCCTTTGGGCTCACCTCGCCAATCCGCGGAGCCATATTCCGGAAGGCCCATGTCCAAAGCAAGCGCGGTACCGATCGGGCTCGGGCACTCCAGTGCGAACAATCAAGCCAATGGGCAAGGGTCGCGTCAACTGGATCCCCGAGCCGCTGAAGACCTCAAAGTCAGTTACCCTTCGACGCTAGTTCATCAACATCACTGACCAACTATTCAGCTCTACCTTGAGGATCAGAATGCCCTCCTTTCAACCGACATCCAGCAGCTTGTGAACACCATCCGGGGTGATGCTGAGATGCGACAGATCACTGGCGAGATTGGCTCTATCAATGCCGTTGTTAGCAATATCATTTCAGAAACACAAGCCTATGGCATAGGCGAAATGGCAGCCTCATTGGCAAACTGCAGAGCACGACTACTAGAGGCTGCTGACCAAGGCCAGGATATGGCCAACATTGGCATGGATACCAACTCTCACGAATGGCGCATGTGGGTACAAACCCTGCCACCCATCGCGTTTGGGCTGGCGCGTGAGGCCAAGGAGTTGGCTCAAGCAGCCGACGATATGGCCAGACCCGGACGACCTGATGACTTTTCGTAATTACCTTTCACTTCATTTCTGAGACTCCGGACTTTGTCTTTGCAACCGGAAAACGCTTTATACCCCCCCTGAACGCCAGTTTTGACGCTGGCTGGATTAGCTATTTGATGCTGTCCTAGTTTTTTGTCTTGGATTGGTCGATAACGTCGAGACGACGTTGAACGTATCTCGACGATGAGCGGGTTGAGATGAAAAGGGACATTAGTTGGGTAATGCTGCACGTGGAAAGCATGGGAACGGCGTTAGGATTGCTGTTGGTAATGCATTGTATTGTGCAGACAGACATTGGCCCTGGATTGAGTACATATTTACAAGTATGCCGAGCACCAAGAGGAGGATTGAATATGGCTTTGATATTTGTTCAAAGCGAGTTAGACGACGTCCCCCAGTTCAGACAAGACTATACGATGGACGACGATAATAGAGATAGACGAGAAATGGAACGTTATCGACTATCTATGATATCCTTTCCTGTGCCGTGTTTATGAGAAGCTTTGGTCGATGGAAGACCTAGAAGTCTTCCAAGTTTATTCGAAATGACATCCTAAATTTGGCTAAACATTTACATTACTCAGGCAGGGCTACCTAAAGGCTTCGTTTCTCTGCTGCCGGGTATCAAACTTCGGCCCTATATAGAACCAAGCTCCTATGTACTTTGTCAGGCATTAATTGGTTAACCTCCACTAGAACTAAGCGTCATACATTGACCGACACAAACCAACCCATCTCGATTCGACAACACACACATACCAATTTAAACTATTAAGCCTAAATATAGAGATAATGGCTGACAGCCATGAATTCCGCAGAAGGATCCTTCTGCTTGCCACAACAGGCGGGTTTACTCATGCAGGTACCTACCTCTCCAGAACCCGCTAACTTACACACATTAAAGCTAAGACGACAAATAGCTCCGGTTCTCGAAATAGGCGCTGTCCTCGCCTCTCGAGGCCATGATATTCAATTCGCTACCTGCGCAGGCCAGGAAGATTGGACAGCTAATTATCCCTTCATAAAAACCGTATATACAGTTGGTCCCGCCGCTTCAGAAGATGATTTGGATATTCACTACGAAACAATGCGTCTCTGGCGTCATGAGCACGGCTTCGGTCCCATGATGAAGTCAAAATACTTCTTTGACAACTTCTGGACTGATACTTACAAGTCTCTTCGATCTTTATGCGAAAATGACTCTACGAGGCCCGACTTTATTGTTGCAGACTTCTTCGCCGATAGCGCTGCGAGGGATATGCTTAAGCAGTTCAATATCCAACTAGCGAGCGTCTGGCCTCAAATGCCTTATGCCATGGCTCCTGCCAGTTATCATCCTGGGCAGCCTGGGTTCCAAGCCGATGGGGCTTTGACTTCGGAGCACGCTTCTCTATCATCACGGTTCTTGAACGAATTTGTGGTTCTCGCCGCGCTGCCTACTATCATCCCCTGGTTAATATGGACCAAACGAATGCGCGTTGATGCTGGCGTCAACTATAGCCACTCTCTTCTATCAAAGCCTGATTATCTTGTTCTGGTCAACTCCTTCTGGGGCCTTGAAGCGCCGAAGGAATTGCCGCCTCTTATGGCACCTGTTGGACCTATATTGAGTGATGAATACCTTCCTTTGGACGAAGACCAGGCTCAGTTTCTAAGTAGCCATGATAGGACAATCTATGTGTGCCTGGGGACGCATGTCAACCTTCCGGGCGAAGAACTTGAAAAGTATCTCCTTGGGTTCATCCAAGCTCTCGACGATGGCTCGATCAATGGAGTCATATGGTCTATCCCCCAAAAGCCTCGCGTCAATTTCGACACCCTCAAGTCTTATAGTCTGTTTGATGGTTCAAGTGTATCCATTGCGGATCTTCTGAATGATTCCCACCCGCACTTTCGGCTTCCCATCTTTGCACCGCAGCGCGCCATCCTAGCACACCCTAATACAGTCCTCTTTCTCACTCATGGGGGCGGCTCGAGTGCCAACGAAACTCTCTTCCATGGGACACCAGTCCTCGCTATCGGATACTTCTTTGACCAGCTCTGCAACAGTGCCCGACTAAAAGCCGCCGGTGTAGGTATGTCTCTCGACAAATCCTACCTCACACCATCTTCCATCTCCTCCGCGATTGCAAACATCATAAGTGATGAAGACGGTTCCTTTGCCCTGAATGTCCGTCGTATGCAAGGCATAGCAGCTCTCAACTCCAAGCGCAAACATTTTGCAGCTGATCTCATCGAGGAAGTTATGATAGACCAAGAACTTCGGCTCAAGAAAGGTGTTGAGTTGCGACCAATGCACCTGCAGACAGCAGATATGCGTATGCCTATATGGAAGGCAAGGAATTGGGACATGTGGTCCATAAGCCTCACGGGTCTCGCAGTTGGTGGCGTGGCAAGTTGGTGGATTGCAACACATGGCTGGAAAAAGTTGCCCACCATACTGGCACGATCTGTAGGACTCGGTAGAGGTCTTGCAAGGGGAATACTTGATAGTCCCAAATCATGACGATTCTAGACATATTGGCAGAGAACATGTAATGATGTAATATAGATGTAGAATGATCTACGCTAAGGCCTTGCCTGATAAATCCCTTCTCTCTTGACATCGTCGTGTCCTCCCTCACCTGTTTACCCTGCTACAGTGAGCGTGATATTCTGTAACCTGATTTCTATGAATTAAAGGTAAGCTCTGTAGCGCTGTTCTATTTCTGCCAACTATTCAAGTTCCTCGGTGCTATAAGATACCTCGCAAATGCAATACTTAGCATCTACGGATAGAGTCTACTATTATATAGTTTACATAAGGTTGAAATAAACAATTCTACCTTGGAAGCTACTCCTAGTTTTCAAGTCTATTAGCCAATGAACTCGTTCTGCGCCAGCCCTACACAGATCGTATAACTACCCCCGCAAAGCGCAAGTCTCGAGCCGCCAGCCAAAAATGATATTTATGTCAATATTGTAATACCGACATGTTGTGTTTCACGTTGATCGTGGCAGGGTTCGAACCTGCGACCTTTTCCGATAGTATGCTATAATCAGCGATGTAAAGGAAACATGATAATACCACTACACCACACGACCGGGTTTAAGGTATTTGATGTCTTATTGCAATACTTGAATCACAGTTTGAAAAATGTCCACCATGACAGGCCGCTGAGTGACCTTCTATCAACAACTTTATTTATTTATATTAACAAGGCTACATAACTATAATTTCCTTTCTGACTTTTAAGGAGACTTTAACTTTTTCCCTTCTATATATATAAATCCTTATATAAATCGCAGAATTATAATAACCGAAAATAAAGCAAAATCAGGCTACGGTAGCTGCAATAGCCCTGGGGCCCGATCGACTGATGGTTCCCTGTGACACTGTATTGCTACCAAAACCCGAACTTTGGGATGATCGTGATAAAGATCGTATCGAGATTATGTCTTGCAAGAGGCTTCAGGCACTTGACTTTACAGCCAGTCGGTCGGTCGGTTAGTGTGTCGGTCAAGAGGCTTAAAATGAAGCTATCGCGAAGGACCTTCTAGCTGTATAGGCATAAGCTGCTTGGTGTTGATGAATGTGTGCGTTATTGAGGTTATCGCGAAATTGATCCAGGGAAATTGGAGCTTACCTGGAAGAAGGTTGCTGCGAGATGCACTAAGCCTAATCAGGTTAGATCAAGGCCTGTTGGTGTAAATAGAGGAAGTTATAGGCATAAATAGCTCTACTTATGCTTTAAATGCCTACTGAAAGTGTTTGACAAAGGTCTCCTAAAGTGAGAAAAGGATCAAGTTAACTATTATCTTTAAAACTTCATGCCTTTGGACCACCCGAGTATCATGAACAAGGAGTATGAAAGGGAACCTAACACCTTTAGTCAACGGTCTTTTAAAAGTAGAGCTATAAGACTAATCAACAGCTTTAAACAAAAGCTGCCTACCTCTTACTTCCGCCTCTATATCTGACATATATGAATTTCTCCCAATTAGCTGTATAGTTCTTATTATATATACAATTCCATTATGACTTATTTAAATCTCATTTAGCCGGCAGCTACTATTCGGGTGATGTCCAGAGGTACCCGCATAGTGCTTATCTTATCACTCACAACCAGGTCCTGATCTGACGTGGTGCAAGAATTTCGACCCTCACTTATTAAACTCCCTACACTAGAGACGACATCTCACGACACGAACTCACCACAATGGCAATGTCAAGAGCCAATGGCCCTCTACGAACATGCCTGCGGCAACTTGTGCGCTCAGAGGGGTACAACCCCTCTCACAATCTTCTCATCATGCAATTGACTGACCAAACCAGCCCAGCTCCCCTCCGATCGATAGCCGCTACACCCCGCGCCTTCAGCACGTCTCCCTCTCTGCTCAAGAAGCGCAAGATCACAGCCCCTAGCAACAGCCCCAACAGCGCCAATGCCAAGGCAGCTGCAGGCTCTATGAACAAGGCCGAGTACGACACTGCAAAGGTGCCGATGCCGGATCCGGAAGATCCCCTCGATTTTACAGCTGTTATTGCTGCCTATGCTCCTATTGATGCGCACTTCAAGACCCAGCTGGCTGGTATGATCCATGGCGGACGATTCAATCCTACCAATTTGGGGTCGCTGCCTGTGCCCATGAAGGATCATGACGGCAATGATGTGACATTCCCTCTACGAGAGCTGGCGCAAGTCGTTCCTCGATCTGGTCGAGCTATTTCACTGCTTGTGAACGACAAAGAGTACATCAAGCCTATCATGTCAGCGGTTCAAGCAAGTCGTGAGTTCAACCAGCAACCACAGCGATCAGAGGACAACGAGCTTGAGCTTCTTCTCAAGGTGGAGCTCGAGCGCAAGGACGACGTCGAGCGACGAATCAAAGAGATGGTACAGCACTGGAAGGACCGCATTCGCAATGCTAGGTCCAGACATGAAAAGACACTCAAGGACTGGAAGAAGTCAGGCACTGTCCTTCCTGACATTGTTAAAAAGGCCGAGAAGGAGCTTCAAAAGGTACAAGACAAGAAGATGAAGGAGATCGACCAGGAAGAAGCACAGACCATCCGTCAACTATAGATGGTAATTGTATGATAGGATAGATGCAGAATATTGTAGTATTACATATCGTGACAAGTGTACACTGATCCTAAGATCTAATCTATCAAGCACGCGCCTTGGCACCCTTTCCAGCAACAGGCTTCTTAGCCAGCAGCGACGTCAACTTGGTCTCAAAGGAGTTGACATCGTTGGTAGAGTAAGTTTCGGCCCTGAGATGCCATGAGCGAGAGAGACCAACAGGGTCTGAAGCGAACTTGGGTGTCTCATGCTGGCCTTGAATAGCACGCTTTGTGATGACCTGACGAATAGCCTCTTCGGTGTCTGTGATGATGGGGCCTGTGGATTCTTTGCCTTCAGCCTTGAGCTTCTCCTGGAGGTACTTTTCGGTAGCCTCCTTATCTTTCGGGTCGGCAAAGAAGCGAATACCATTGGCCTCAATCTCAGACGCGTAATATTTGGGCTGGAAGGTGTCTGGTGCGCCGACATGATCCGCTGTGCCGAGGACACTAAGGTTCTGGAGAACTGCAGCCGATTTTCCAGAGGTGGAATTTGGTGCGACGGGCGCAAATTCGTTGATAGATTCGAGTGTGAGAGATGGTGTGTATTGAGAGGTGATGCCGAATCGAATATTGTCGTCAAAGGACTTCTCATCGGGATCCAATGTGTTAAACTCGTTTCGGTCGATCTTCTTCTTATCCTTGTCCTCTTCGTCCATTGGTCGTCGACCGTTGGTTCTTCCACCTCGGCCACGAGCACGGCCTCCGCGACCGCCTCGTCCTCTGCTCGCACCGAAACCACCGCGGCCTCTTGTCGGTGAAGAGGTTCGAACAGGTGTGGCGGATCGATCCTGAACTGATGATCCGCCCCTGGCAAGTCCACCTCGACCTCTGAACATAAGACCTCCTCTTCCACGAGCTTCACCGCGCCCTCTGAAACCCCCACGTCCGCGCAGGGGCATGCTCTTTATATCGATAACCTTGGGACCACTAGCCGGGCTTCGAGGTGCCCTCGGAGTGCTGGGGCTTGGGCCATCGGCAGCCAGGAACTGCGTTGTCGAGAACTGGCGGGCGTAGTTTCGAAAAGCATCCGAGACCTGCTCGAGCTCTGGCCTTGTCCGGCTGCACACCGAACGGAAGGCGTGGCGTTGCATTTTGGGGTGGTTGTCTGATGTGGTGAAGCTGATTGTCCGTGGTTTCGACGATCAATTTTCGTCGCAACTCAATGACTAAGCATATCACCCCGCATTGGCCAATCATCAACATCACATTCGATTATCTAGGTGCAAGTCATACAGAAAAGCATAAATATATTATAGGAACTGCCTATACTCAATTCCTGGTGCTATGCACAAATCAAGATCTCGGATCTTGCTACAAGCCCATAATACTCTATAAGCCATCCTTCCCAATCCTCCAATCGATCATTTACAAGTGCGCCTCACGTATAGGCCAACCTTTCCCAAACTCCAAAGCATATACACAGCGGCGCTTTATTGGGATTTGTGTACCGATTCAACCATTTCAGGTCTTTTGATCAGGACAGTTACGTCCGTCACTCGGAACAGAGCCGCGACCTTGCGGCTGTCACACCGTGGTACTGGCAACTGGATACTGAGTGTGCTTGTTCTCGGCACCCTAACCCATTCTGACCTTTTCATACTCTGGTTCAAGAGTCGATCTGCCTGCGCCGCTCATTCTGGTGAAATTGGACAGCAATGCCCGGGTCGCCCTCGGATTGCCGTAGTTCGTTAAATGAATGTCTCAATAGAGGAAGTGGCATAAAAATCGGATTCGTGTTTGCAATGTATACTATTACACGCTCTGAGGTTGGACCATAGCGGGCTGTGACAATGATTAGACAAGTTTTAAAGGTGCTTATTTGTGAAACATACCGGACTGTTGAGCATGTGCTGTCGCTTGTTTCGGCTCTTCTTGATATGACTCTTCAGAGCGCTCGAGTCAAGAGGCTTGAGGAGCTCAAAGCTGCAGAGGAGCTCCGAAGATACTGACATAACAGCACCCCAGTTATCAAACTCACCGCAATACTATAACAGTTAGCCGTAATCCGAGGAGACGCGGAGATGGGTAACTTACATTGGGTGCACTAAACACTGTTACCAGAACCCTATCATTGAAGAATTCATAACCATCCTCGACTACCATGTGCGCACGACAAATAAGATCAAAATCATGCACTGCTAAAAATTCGGTAATGACTCGTTTGCCAAAACAATAACTGACACCTCTCTCGTTGGCTTCCCAGTCTTGTTCCATGTCTGCGGGGTCAGACCAAAGAAGATCGTTCAATAGTCCATAATCAGGGACATCTGTCGGTCGAGCAATGTTCCGAATATCGTCCATGTGAACTAGCGCAGGCGAAAGTCCTCCGTGAACGCAGAAGATCTTGCCCGCGACAATGGCCGCAATGGGTAAAGTATTAAAGCAGTCAATAAACGTCTTCCAGATTTTGACATTGCACCTTCGCTTGCATTCATCGTAGAAGCCATAAACTCGCGTGACATTGGCGCACTCGTGATTTCCGCGGAGGAGAAAAAAGTTCTCGGGGAACTTGAGCTTATAGCAGAGGAGTAGCAGGATAGTCTCTAGAGACTGCTTGCCTCGATCAACGTAGTCACCGAGGAAAAGGTAGTTAGAGTTGGGGGGGAAACCACACATCTCAAACATTCGGATAACATCGGTATACTGGCCGTGGACATCACCCACGACCTTTACTGGGGCATCCAACTCTAAGAGAGCAGGCTGTGACAGCAGAACTTCCCTAGCCCTCTGACAAATGGCCACAATCTCAGCATTTTTGAGGCAGACGCTCTTGGTGACCTTCCCAGCATAACCCGCATCCAAGAGCCGCTTAATAAAGTCATCGAGATCGATATCCTTGATCTCAGACATGGCGACATTGGAGTTTCCCTCTGTCTTGGATTCGGCAGAGGGGCTGTTGACTGGGTTGATGGTGTTTTCTCGCTTCACCAGGATAGACTGACCTGGAGCTTGCATGTGCGCAGTAGCTCCAGCGTTGACAGACGGAGGCTGGTCAGAAACATGATCAACCTCTCCCGACGCTTGCGCAGCGCTCACATCGTGGGCACCGCCCTTGGTGTTTCCTTGAACGGGAGATGGAGGCGGTTGATCGTCTGCAATAGCCGAATCTGCGAGGGCCGATTCGGGTGCTGACATGTCTGACGCAGCGGTGTTAAGTGGAGGAAGCTCACTGCGGCTCAGTCGAGAAGAGCTTGAACGTCCATGCCTACTGGATCGTCGTTCCTCAGTCTTTGTTTCGGTCGCAGTGTCACCATTGGATAAGACCTGTGAGTTCCTAGGACTATCCGACTTGCTACCGCGGATCTTTGAGCCTAGAGATCGAAATGAGCGGGACGATTCCTTGGTGTCAGATCTGCTGAACGATGGGTAAGACTGGAGAGGTCCGTCAGGCCCGGCCGAGCCGGAGCCTTTGGAGTTGGATCCGCCTGGAGTGGAGTTGTTGTTTCCCATGGTATTGTTTCCCGCGACTATCAACAGTGGTTATTCCAAACTGCACTGGTGATGGGCGGCTCGATTCGATGCGCTTCCCTTCGGCGCAGCTTCGATTGAGCTTGGATCAAGGGATATGTTAGGGAGGATGAAAGAAGCGATCGAGAGTTAAGAAGAAGGAGGAGGAGCGGCTACGACGACCCCTTGATGCGTCCGTTTTGGGCAGTTTTGGAAGATGCTTCAAGTTGAAGCACGAGATGTTGAAGTGAGTCTGCGGGTGGATTTTGCGGCGTGATGACGTCGTGGGGAGGCTTGTTAACGCCGGGATGAGGCCGGAGACGATACAAAAGGCGAACGGAACGAGATCGGAGATAACGCTGAAATAGCAAAGGCCGAGTTCGAATCTGGAAAGAGTCCACGTTAGGCTGAGTCACACTTGAAGAGGCAGACGCTGAATGAAGATTGCGTATGGCAGGGTTGCGGTGCATTTCAAGTGTTGACGACGCAGGTGAAAAAAAGGTATAGCCACAGTGTGGAGGACCAGGTCGACTTACATGGAGTGGAGGAAGTTATCAGAGGTACTGGGCAAGACAAACTAACAGCAGAAGCAAGTGAAGTAATCGTAAGGTGAGATTGAATGAAAAATCAGATTGCCAAGGCGTCTAAAGGCAAAACGTTGAGTGTCAGGTGTTGGTGGAAGATGGTATCGGTATCGGTATCGGTATGGTTATAGGTATAGGTATAGGTACAGTTTGTAGGTGCTACAGTGCTGTAGAGGCGATGGAGCAAGATATACAGCGGGCGGAGTAGTTCGCATGCGATGACGTCGATAGAGTAGAGAGGACGATAAGTCGAGTGCCTGAATCAGACGCTGACGCAAAGAATGATAGGCTCAATTATCAATTGTAGCGTACGAGGAGCTAGAGTTTGTTGTGAAAGAGTAAGAAACAACGGGATCAAGTGTGTTGCAGAAGTGAAAAGATAAGTCGACTAGAGGTAGAGGTAGTGGTATTAGTGGTAGTCTCGTCTCGGCAAGGTATGTACACACTAACTAACACCTCCACCTGGACCTTGTTCCTTACCCCAAGTCTCTTACTTTCCCTCGCAAAGTGAAAAAAAAACAAAAGTAAAAAAAAAGCCAAGACGAGATGAGGAGTCAAGTTGAGCCTACAGCGAGTAGTAGAGCAACGGAGCGGAGCCGGATAAGGTCAATTTGGAAGCGAAGTGGCGGCTCAGGCTCAGGCTATGAACAGGCAGTGCAGGACAGGCATGCTTGGACAGGCGCATGCTATGGATTAAGGTTCCACACCCTCTTCTCTTGTTTGTCGGACAGAGTTCAGTGATTTCGAACTAGGGCGTCTTGTGGTTAGTGATAACAGTTCAGTTGACGTCTTGAGAGGATCATTGGACGGAGCTGACCTCGTCGTATTGAGGTCACTCGAGACAAGACAAGACAAGACGACAGACAGACAACGACAGCGGCCAAAAAGAGACTGAAACAGAAGCTCAATGACAAGCACTGGAGCCAAGACTGGTTCGTCCGGGGTGGTTCTTGATCGGCGCCCAATGGAGGGGAGGCTCAGCAATGCGAGGTTGGGCGTGAAGCAGGGGTATCAAGCGATTGCTTAGACGATACGTGAGAATGTGGGAGGGCCAAGCTTGACAAGACTTGATAAGAGGCAAAGATTCTCACCAAGCTGTCTATTCTCTGTTGTTCCCTCTGACTTGATATCCTCGGCATTCGTCCTCCGCATAAACCTGTCATATGGCGGTTTTCCACGGTAGTCGTCTCATTATCTTTGGGTCTCGGGACCTGAACCGGAGACTCGAGACAGATTCGGATTGGTAAGATCTAATCTGGACGGACCTCTATAAAAATCAACATGGATTGATTCGTCACCGAAGACCACGAAATGCAACGGCTTCAAGGCCCGGACCCCCTGATAACTAACCCTAATCCCTGGAGATTGACACTCAGACTGACCTAAGTTAGAGACAACCGTTGGCACGTGCGAGAGCTTGTTCTGTCTCGACCATTCGCTGATTCGAAACAAACGAGAAACTCGGTCAAACAGTCGGACTCTCGATCCAAATCAGTTCACATATAACAACAACCACTATATCAACTATTCAGAGTAGCTGCTGCATACCTAATGGCGAAAAGGCCAAGTCTCAACCCCTCTTTCTACCATGACCACAAACGAAAGCATAATGATGTGTCGAATCACAATCTATCAGTCAGCTCTTTTGAGGCCGCCGTTCTCGCCTCCGTAGTGTACCAATAGTTTGTCACACTAGACACCAAACACAGTCTCTGTGCAGTGACAGCTGACTATCCCTCGTGCTTCTCTCACCGAAGACATCCCCGCATTGGCTTGCCAGGTTGCAGCTGGTCTAGTGCACGCTATTCCTTTTCTGTGTAAAGGTGAACAACACCGAGGAGGAGCATCACACACTGTAACGATGTAAGACAAAACATGGTTCACAACAAACTACTCTGGCATTATGGTTTCTGTATCCCACAGGCATCTAATCTGGCGTACTAGCCTCGGACAGAATTACCATAGAACCATATCTACCACCAGTGCTTGATACGTTTATAAAATCGTGGGATTGCCGCCCAGGGAACACTGCCAGTTCTACTCGAAGGACTTGTTCCTGTCCATGAGGGTGACCCTTCATAATATCTTGCTCCCGTGTCAACGACAGTTAACGGCATACAACCAAAGATTTGCAAACAACCATGCAGCTGTCATAGTTGCAGCCATCGGCGTTGCCCATCTTGATGAGCATGGGCGAGATGGCAAATTCAACAACAGTCTTTGATGACAAGTCTTTGCCCTGTATAAAGGCATCCATTCGAGTTGCATCGAATCGCTGGTTCTTCGAGCCGTCGCTCTCAGGCCGGTGGACGGTGAATATTGCTTTTGAGTTCATCAACATCTCGTCCAGCTCCAGCGCAGCATCAATGATGGTTTTCATCTCCTGGAGGAGATCAGCGCTTGGTTTGTCTTTGGGGAAAGTCACGAAAGCTTTCAGCTGCCCGATCTCCCAAGCTGCTCGGGTCCTAATGCCTGCTCGTTGCGGACAAAAAAATGTCCAAAGAAAGCTGCGCCCTGTGCAGCCCATCGTGCAACATGGCGGAGAGTTGGGCCACGGCCTGAAGGTTTATCTCCCTCGGGAGCAGCTCCTGTGAGCATTGGAGAAGTTCCCAGCAAGCGCAAGGGAATAAACATGGAGAAGGGGGTTTCTACTTACAGGAATATCGCACGAACCTGGCCCTCAAGCTTAAGGTCAATAAGAAGGAGTGTCTCCTCTTAAGCCTTTTGGTGTAAGAACCTTTGTTAAATGATGGAGGCGAGATAGAAAGAGGTAGAGAAAGAAGTAAAATTTAAAGTTCTCCCCATAAACGGAGTGGTGCTGATGGGAGGAGCAGGAGCCACTTCGCCATAAAAGAAAAGCGTGCAGCTTAAGTAAACGGATTTCTGCAGGTGAATACTCCCTGTTCTTTTGTTATCATGATTCACCGTCCCAATCATACGCTGCCATCTTTTATTGTTGATATATGCCTGTTTGTCAGTTGGCACCTGGCTAGCACTGTTAACACTTCACTCCACTGTTTATATACCTACCTTAGGCAATCAGCAAAGCGTGGGCACGTGTATAGGTAGGCATTTCTTTCTCCTTACTATATATCCCTCTCTTTTTCTCTGCTTATATTCCCTTCACTACAAACGTTCTCTTCCTCTTAACAACCTTCCTAGTATCATCATCTGACTTTGCGAGGAGAACTCGGGCATCATGACTGCCAACCAACCGCAAGGCGATGCCATTATAATTGGCATCGACTTTGGAACTACGTGAGTTTATCATCTGTGTATTATTATTGGTGACTGAACGTGTCCTCAGATTCTCAGGTGTTGCTTGGGCATACTCTGGACAGCCTGATGAGATCGAGATAGTCACAAGCTGGGACTCTCAACTTAACCATTGTTCGGACGTCGAAAAGGCGCCCACACAGCTCTTATACGATGAGAAAGGCCAGGGTGTCAAATGGGGCTATGGTATCCCTTCCGAGAATGAGCCACTGAAGTGGTTCAAGCTATTGCTTCTTGAGGCCAAGGACATCCTGTTGAGGTTGCGGCTTCAACTCAGCTGCAGGAAGCTCACCGCCTTAAGAACAAGGTGATGAAAGATCCCATCGAGATTATTGCGACATTCCTTCGCAACCTTTGGGTTCACTCCACCGACTCTATCAAGCGTACCCTTGGCGCCGGTTTAGTCCGGCGATGCAAACTGCAAGTCGTAATCACGTTGCCAGCCATCTGGCCTCCATATGCCCAGCGGCGGATGAAGCAAGCCGCTCAACAGTCCGGTATTCTGGATGCGCGCTCTGCTGGTACCACCTCCCTGCACTTTATCTCTGAGCCTGAAGCTGCCGCCCCTGCGACCATCAAAGATCTCTCTAAACGGTCAATAATCAAGGTATGAGCTAAAATTCTAACCTACACGTAGCGCAACTCACCATAGTAATACCTATAGGCTGGTGACACTATTGTTGTCTGTGATGCAGGCGGAGGCACAGTCGTAAGTCCATCTCAAGGTGGAACTGTACACTGCTAATCTTTTGGAGGACCTCATAAGCTATGTCTTCGAATCTACTGATCCATTCGTCGTTAAAGAGTGTGTCAAAGGCGATGGTGAGTAGAAGAACATATGCCATCCTACTGAGGGAGTTTCGAAATGACTAACTCACAGCTAGGTGGTCTTTGTGGTGGCGTCTTTCTTGACGAGGCTTTCATCAAACTCATCAAGAACAAAGTTCCCAAGGGTACATGGAACTTTGTCGGCCATTCCGACGAGAAGAAGTTCCTAAACGATCAATGGGAGCACGGAATTAAACCCCAGTTCGAGAATCAGCCTCGGACATGGCCAGTCGATCTGCCGGAAAGTTGCAGTAGCGACTTATCCACGGGCTTGAAGCGCCGCGCGACACTTGATCTCACCTCGTGAGTACACATCCGGGATAACTTTTCTCGACCAACTCTATATACAGTGATGAGATATCATCGGTGTTCTGCCCGATCGCAGACAAGATCGAAACCCTGGTCAGCCGCCAAGTAGATGCCATTCAGACCAAGTATCACAAAGAGCCCAAGGTATGGATGTCACCCAAAGTCCTTTCGAGGTGTATAACTAACTTTGACACTTAGTACATCGTTCTCGTCGGAGGTTTTGGCCGTAGTCGCTACCTCTTCAATCGTCTTGAAGAACGATTTGGTGAAGACACCATCCTCCAGTCTCGTGGGACCAAGCCGTAAGCATTCATGGCTTGAATGAAAGAATTTAGCATCACCATACTGAAACTATTATAGATGGACTGCGATCTGCCGCGGCGCTGTTGTACAAGGGTTGCTCCGACACGACCCCTCTTTGAGCGTGGGACTCAATGTTGAGGCACGCGTCGCTCGAATGAGCTATGGTGTCAAATACTCTACTCCTTTCATCGTGGGGAAACACAAGAAAGTGGACAAGTATTGGGATGAAGATGAGCAACAACACAAGGCGGGTAACCAGATGGAGTGGTTTCTAAAGGAGATAAGAGGATGACTGGATGGACAACAGCTCACTGCTAACATATCATCTTTTACCAGGGCGAGTCTCTTTCGGAGAAGAGTCCAGTTCATCATGACTACTATCAACTTCTCTCAGGTAGCGCAGTCCAGACCTCCAACACAATCTACTGCACAGCGACATTCCCTCCGCCTGCAAGAGCACCTAAGGGATTAGCCAGTGTTCAAGAACTTTGCACTGTCACCTGGAACAAAACCATTAATGCCAGGAAGCTTCCCAAGTGGGCCAATCGCCAGGGTCAAACTTTCTCGAAGCTCAACTATCGCATTGAGATGGATTGTGAGGACGGAACTGTGAACTTCAAGATCATTCACAAGGGGGCAAGGGTCGGCGAACAAAACTTCGAAGTCTAGCTTGGCCAGGCCGCTGTTGTTGTGTCAGTTGTGTCGAGCTCCTTTACGTCATGTTGTGTACATGAAATCTGGCTCGGGAAACGACTGTTCTAATATCATGTGCATGTAGGATGAGCAGAGCATCTTGCTCAGTGGGCAAAGGCAAAGTGATGGGAACTACCTAGCCTCGATAGCTACTCTGAGAAACCCACTTTAGAGAATTTGTCTAAGGAGGGCACAGATTAGAGTACTTTCTATAAATGCGGAAGATTATGTATGACTTTTGCGTGTCTAGTGCATGTCCTGGTAATGAGTGGAATTTATGTTTGTCAAGACAATGAAGCTTTATTAGTATTTAGCCCATTGAACTATTAGATGACCCCAGGTGAATAACCCGCTGTGGGAAATTTACCCTATGTTAACTTGTAGTAAGCAATATGCATTACAATAAATACTATCGTCGTCAATAATACTAGACTGGAATACCTCTAATCATCTGAGAGAAGCTGTACACATGTCAGGATACGCACTGCTGCGCCCATCATATGCCAATATGGAGTTCACCACATTGATACCAGCACCGTGGATGTAGGGTCAAAACATCGGTCAGTACGAAAAACAACGACTAGCTGCATGTGGAAGAAGGACTTTGGTGATAAGTGACAAAGCCGTGGCAGCTGAAGTCAGCATCTTTCAGGCTCAGAGATTGGCCCTTGCATGTGTAAGCTTGACCATTCCCAAACCGGTGACAATAAATTGGACGGAACGCAGATGAAAAGTCGGTGGATATGTCTCTTTTCGGGGTTGATAGTGGGATGAATTGATAATTGAGTTTGGATGTCAAAATAAAGATGCCGCAGTTTCATCATTCGTTGGCTCCCCCGTAACAAAATTATCAATCAGTTCCCATGTGCCGGTAACGGCGTGGGCCGAAAGGCGGTGCAGCAGAGTCTGTAAGCTTCCAGGTTGTCACTGGAAAGCCAGCGTAATGTGGGGGGACCCTAGAAAGCGAGTGAGACTGAGACTGAGGGAGGGCTGAGCGAGGCAAAAAAAACGCGGCAAAATCTAAAATTAGACGCGGTCTACGTACACACTCTCGATACCCGGGACTAGCAAAGGCTGTGTTTTAAAGATGGAGGGGAGGCTTTGCATGTCAGTTCCTACAGACAGGGGAGTAATCGATAATATCGCGAAAAATGTCTTATTGTGTATGCTCCCCCGTAAGGCTGCGTTTACCTGATCGAATAGCGAGTTTCTTATCCCACATCGCGATTGTGAGGTGGATAAAGATTGGGCACGGCACTTTGACGTAACAGAGGCTGACAGCTTCATGCTTTAATTCTTCGTTGTCAGCACAACGGGTGTTTCCATCTGACACACCCGCTCTCTTTGACAACGGTGACTCAATCTTGCACAAACTTAAACTGTGCGACCTTTCAGTAATAATAGAGTGGTGTCGTCTGCGTTATCCCGCCCAGTTGTCGTAGTCGTACAAGTCATTCCGTTTGTTTTTCTTGTTTGTTTTCCCGTGTTGATCATGGAGAAAAAAATCAAGTGGTGGTGCTGGAGGTGGATCATTATCCTAGCAGCTGTCGTCAGCACCAAAAGCTCAGGGTCCCTGCGTTTTTGACTCTGTAAGGGTATGGATCCATATTTTGGTTCGATAATCGTAAAATGTTGGAGGAGGAGGAAGTGATCCAAGGTGTATTAGTTGCGGAGCAATGTCATCATGACTGTTAATTCCGCAACAGAGACTTTCATCAGTGTATCAATTGTCACCACTCAAGCTTCTTCCAGCCACCAAGATCATGTAGCTGCCGGGCCAATGACATGATCGTCATGCTGATCATGGGGAGATCCAAAGCTTACAGCAGTTCCTCCTACAACAGGCTGAAGAGTGCACATAACCTCACTGTAGCCACAAGCCAAGTTCACGTTGATTTTTCAGCTGCTTCAACTAGCACAGCCTGAAAGAGCAAATTAACGTGAGCTGCGCCCATTCAAGGTTAGACAAGCGAAAAGCGAACGAGCTCAGCTTCATCAAAAAGAGTGAAAGCGTGGATGAGTGGCTGAGCGCCCTATCTCTCCACTGTGACCTCTTTAGTGGGAACCTGACCTCAAGCTGTAACAACCAGGCTTGGGCTTTTGGGCTTGGGTAACTGGGGGGAGTCGTAAGCGCAACGCCTCCAGGCGGACGAGGCAGAACGTGATACCTACGCACTGTACAGTACCACATAACACACCTCTACGGTCACAGTGTGAGCTGAGCGCGGGATCTTGCCTGTCCGGGGTGCAGGGGCTCGCTGCGCCACTCCACGTCAACCAACATCCAACCCCCCTCATCTGTTTGTTAGTGCGTAACTGTGCTGCAGCACAACGGTTAGTGCTCACGCCCAGCCCAACCTGGAACTTACCTATGTCCTGGGCTGTGTTCAGCTTTTATAAAACCATCCTCTTCTTCCCTCTGGTAATATTCTTTTCTCCTCTGTTATCTCGCCTCATCTCATCCTTCCCTTTTTTACGTTCGCGTCATTTCCTCTCTGTCGCGTTTCGTTCTAACTCACTCGAATAGAGTCACTCGCTTATAACAGCACAGCACTCGTTCTGCTAACTCTACGTCATATTCCGATTCGATCTCCGAATCCGCCGCATACCTAAAAACTACCTCCAAAAACTACCTACACCACACACAGCAACAATGGGCGTCGGTCGATTCTTCTGCGTACTATTGCCGTTCGTGCTCACAGTCGGCTCCATCATCTTCCTACTAGTCGGCGCTCTCGCTGGTGTCGCCGATAAGTCTCTCTACATCTTCCGAATCGATGTCAAGAACCTCAGCATCAGCCCTGCTGATGTCGGCAACATTATCGACAACCTCGACCTCAAGAACTTAAAGTTGGATACCCGCGATGTGCCTGTTATTGAGGAGCGTGCCGACACGGTCAAGGACAACATTACCGCCGAGCTGCTCGGTCTCGACAAGTACTACGACATCAACCTCTGGGGTTTCTGTAAGACCGACTCAGATGGCAAGCGAAAGTGCGAGAAGCCAGAGTTTGACTGGGCCAACAAGAAGTTGAACACCTCTTATCTCATTGGCGCCGACAAGAATGTCCAGATTGAACTTCCTGATGAGATTCAGGATGCTCTTAAGGCCTTCAAGACTGTCACCAAGTGGACACAAGTTGTCTACATTGCCGCTTTCATCGCTCTCGCCGCTGAGATTATTCTTGGCATCTTCTCCAACTGCTCTCGCATCTTCTCATGCTTGACATGGATCGTTGCCGGTATTGCCTCCACTCTCGTTATCGCTGCTGTTGTCCTCTCTGGTGTCTTTGCTGGTACAGTCGTCGGTGCTGTCGAAGGCACAGCTAAGTTCTATGGTGTCAAGGGTGATATAAACGGCCGATTCTTCGCCTGTGTCTCTATCGCAGCCGCCTTCGCCATCGCAGCCGGTCTCTTCTGGATGTTCACCATCTGCTGCTGCAAGCCTGAGAGCCGAAGTCGCGACAAGAAGAACCGCCGATCCGATGGCGAGAAGCTCCTTGGTGGTGCCACCAACAAGCACGGCTCTTACGCTCCTCTCGGTGACGATCACGAGATGCAGACCGGCTACTACAACCACAACCAGTCCCAGTCTCAGTACGGTGCTCCTCGCTACCCCAGCGGTACTGCCCGTTCTGACCTCGCCTATGAGCCTTATTCTCATCGTGCTTAAACCGCTGCGAGTAACTCAATGACATGATTCCTTAGGTCTATTTGACCTTTGACCTTGACATCTGATGATGATTGCATTAATGGCGTTCGGGTTTGATTTTGGTATCCGGGATCGAATGGCAGGGTAATGTTTGCTATCGCACTCACGCCGTCATGAAAGAAAGAGTTTTGGTTATGTTATTTGTTGCAAAGGAAGTTGGTGGATATTGGCAACGGGAAGATGCCGGATGGCACGATACCCAAACGTTTTCTTTTTAAGACAATTGGGCAATGAATGAACATACATAGCTATCCTAAACATTCGCCCTTAAAGCATAAAAATATATACAATTCATTTACTTCTCATCCGATTTGTTGTGATGGTTCAAGTAAGAGTTTAGTGATGCTTCATCAGGATGGGCCTTGGTGGTATATAGAGCCAGTCCAAAAAATTTCTTTCATGGCTGACTGAGAATCCACACAAAACCTCATTCATATAATACAAATTCAACTCTACACCTGACTCGACGCAAGAGCTCTTATGGCAGATAAATATTTTCCTTGTCGTGAATAAGTAAATGAGCATTTTTAAACTTTCTCAATTTTAATCTTCCGTTATCAATAATGGCAGATGTGAGTTATGATCATAAATGCCCCTCCCCCGCTATCATGAGCTCACACATGCCAGTCAACCCTCACTCGGGAGTTCTTCCAGGGTCCTATCACTTCACTCGCCTTCTTCCATGATGCGGAATATCTCCTCGCTGGAGAGGATACTCACTTGACGCTCTACGATCTTCAAAGCGGCAATGCGTTGCGTATAGGCAGCGTTCGTGTCTTCTCTGCACAGCCTATTCATGGACTTCGCCTGTTGAGTAATGGGCGAGTGTTGGCCTGGGGTGCTGCACAAATTGCAGTGGTGTCGAATATTGAGGGATTTATCTCAAACACGACGGATAATCAAGTGGTTGTAAAGAAGGCAGCAGCTCCAGATTGGATCTACGATGTTGCACCGTCACCATACGATGACGCTTCTGCGGTGCTCGCAACGGCTCACAACGAAGTCGTCCACTTACATCTGAATGGAGACGATGCACCGGTCGTCGGGTCTATTATTTCACCTTCACGGCCAATTCTCTACGCTGCGAGACTCAAGTGGTTAGACCAAGACACTGTTCTTATGGCTGGAGGCACAATCTTTGGCGAGATTCTTGTATGGCGATGTTATGTTTCAGAGAGTCGCTCGGAACTTCTAGCCATTTTGAACGGGCACGAAGGATCCATTTTTGGTGTTGATATCTCAGAAGAACTCCCCTGTCAAAATG